GGAACAAATAGCTAGACTCGCCCCACAGGCACGGTAGGGAGCTAACCCATTAACCTGGCTGGAAGACCTCTTCTGGACTGTGCCACGGTCCCCTCGAAACGGTCGAGTTTCGTGCCGAGACACAATCCATTTGGATTTGGTCAGGGACGACTTCTGGGCCCATGTTTTGAAAGCCTGGCGTCAATTTCCACTGCCTGACAAACCCCCACCGACTACGTGGAAGGAGGTGATGTGTCAACCCCTTTTGGGGAACCGGAGGATTACAGACCGGTACAATAGGGTGTATTGCAGCTCAAGCACCCCGTGGAACAACTAGGTCAAAAAAGGTATAACCAGAATAAAAGATATATGGGATACATGGGATACAGGGAAGGGAGACTGGAAAATTGCACAGCAACTAAGGACTGTACTAAAGTATTGTCATAATGTTGAGGAGCACATCGAATCGTTGATCTTTGCTATCCCCCTAGACTGGGTGCGCATCCTGCGCAAAGGGCTGCGGCTGGTAGAAGGAGACTGGGTAGCGGCCCTGGGTGATCCAGAAAGTGTAGGCAATGTGGTGGAGGTACGACCGGACGAAACACGGGTTAACCTCTTCCACATAGGTAGGGATAATGTGCTCACTCGGTACACCCCAGAGGCAACGAGATGGTGGAGAAATGCGGACCTGCACAGGATCTGTGTGCTGTGGGACAAAAATGTGTGGATCGCATACCAGCCAAATACCCCTGTGGCAGAGCTCCCCGTTGACCCTGAGGAATGGCAGTGGGCCCCTACGCAAAAACGCACGTCAAGGGAGAATCTAAAGTTGCATACCTTAACGGTGAAGGCTACTTATCGTCTTCTGTGACCATAGGTGAACATAAAAGAAACGGTGAAGGCTCGATGGAGGTCTCATTTGAATGTAGGAACTGAGGCAATCCMCCCCATCCGATGGTTCACCGCCACAAGGTCTAGGCCAGCGAAGATGGCGTCACTGCAGTGGCAGATAGAACATCGCTGCCTGCCCATCAACGACTGGTTGATAAATCGCATATACTAGAGCAGAAGGGGCGGGCGCTACCGTGGTGTAAATTGTGCCGCACCGTCTTCCCCTCCCGCAGAATTCCGGGAACCGTAGAGCATATATTCATGCAGTGTCCGGGGGATGTTCTTACATGGCGATGGTGGGATAGGATCTGGACACTATTGGGCACTAGGTCCAACTGGCCATGGGACTGGAGGGCCATTTTATGCGAGGCGTGGACCTCCCCCACTGACAATACTTTTGAAAACAACATGTTCAAGTTAGGGAGGAGAGCGGTCATGTGGACTCTCTGGAGAAAATGATGTACCCATGCTATCGAGGGGGTCCGCATAGCTGGGGAAGAGGTAACAGACATGATAAAACAATACATTCAACAAAAACTTATGGTACAGTGGCAGAAGGTTAAAAACCAACTTGAGCTGTTTCATTCATCCTAGGACATAACACAAGCAATTCATTAATTCTCTGGGGACTCGTCGGGCAGTGAGGATGGGGGCTGGATCGCATCTGTCCGATGGGATGGCAGGCCCACCCAGGAGTGTAACCAGGAGGAATTCAGGAGAGACTACTGTATTTGCTTCAGAGTCTGGATTACGGTAGGCCAGGAGATCCCGCTGCGACCATCCACAGAATTTCCCGACCCCTTCCCACCCCACCAGCTGGCAATGGTCGATATGCAATGGTACAGAGCAGAGTGAGCAAGACCACAGGCAAGACCACAGGCTGAAGGGACCAAGTAAGGAAGCGGCGGGTCAACAAACAGGACACGGAAGGTATCGGCGGGTATTCAGAAGTAGGAAGTAGCCGCTAGGGAAACATGAGTGATCTGGCAGTCTGGCGCAGACTGAAGAGGCGGCGCCCTGAAGTGTACTGTTGTCCAACATACTTATTATTAACTGCACACTTAATCCCCTGGAAACAGGGCAATCAATGCTGGCAGGCGGTCGGATGTAGAATGGGACGCTGGACCCGCTTTCCAGCAGGTGCTGCTCCCCACCAATAGACCGGAGCACCCAGGTCTCTTGCTAGGAGGGGGCACTCTTATCACCTCTCCTAGCAAAGACACCAGGGTAATTTAAAAAAAAAAGAAAAAGAAAAGTATCCTAGGGTTGGTCAAAGTCCATATATAGACCTAGGGAAGGGTCTAAAAAGATATAGACCTAGGGAAGGGTCTAAAAAGTAGGCCTACCTACCAGGTCACCCAGGACCGGAATCGGGGGACCCCAGGCCTGAGAAAGTCAACAGTCAGGACCAGTCTGACCCCAGTAGACCAAGAGTGACAGATTTCTTCAGAAGTCAAATTTGGCCACATATTACACATACATCCGACGACCCAGGCAAAGTTTCTGGAAGAATTTAGGGCGTACTGGGTACCATGCGGCCTCAGGCCAGTAGTGGCTGCCTCCCAGAGCCTCAGTCAAAGCAATATATCTCCGCTGCCAGTCCCCCTACCTAGGCATTCGTTCTGCCTTGCACTGGTGTGCAACACTGGGGTAGTGTGCCATGCTTCCCTGCTGCCACCAGCAAGGGGAGAAAGGGTGCTAGGTTGGCCAGCCATACCTGAGGATAGTAGGTGAGCACCTGAAGGGAGCAAGGAGAAGGGAGGGGAGAGCCACTTGAGAGAGAGAAGAGGACTGAGAGTGGAGGATGCACACTTGGCCACCTGTAGCCATAGCCGCACTGAAGAAGAAAAATCTAAGGATACAAGGCACCGGCACTCTTCAATCCAGACATCATTCTCCCAGTGCTGGACCACCGAGAAGTCTGACAAGAGGGAGAGGAGAGCACTGTCCTCCCCTTTGTCCCTTTCTCCCTAATCCTATTAAAGGGAAAAACGGTCCTCACATAACTGCCCACGCGGGCCCAGGAAAATTCAGGGCTTCGTTTTGAATGTTCGAAATCAAGTACATGGTAAACGCCGACTACGGCGAGGCTCTTGTCGGTCAAAAGCAAGCGCATGGCTTTTTTGTCCTGGGCAGAAGGTTCGGGATCGGATGGAAAGAAACGCGCCTGCAGTTTCATGCGTCGCCACGCTGTGCGCACGTGCACACGTGTGTGTGTGTGTGTGTGTTATAAGCTTCCCCCACAACAACCCCTATTCCAACCAGATGAGTAGAACCGGACTGAGTCCGCCCAACACTTCAAAAAAAATTCTCTTTAACAGGCAGCACGAGGGGCTAGTTGGATGAGAAAGGGGCGGGTCAGGGGGGTGAGAACTGGGTGGATCAGATGCGGAAAGCGGAAGCTGATTAGCTGCACTTGTGCTTAGAGCGGCTGCTAGTCGTGCAAATGCTGCACAAGTAGATGCACCTCGTGTCTGGTGCACACGGAGGCCTGCAGCACTGAAGAAATCATCCCCACATTGCGGGCATCGGACACGGCGTGTACTATTCCTGGCTAGTGTGTATCGAAGACGACGCTGTCGTTCCGAACAGTTGCGAGCATGTCGGCGGAGCAAATCTCTAGTAGCCGTTGGAGGCGCGGTGATCAAGCYGTTCACGGCTAGACGAGGCCGCTGTCTTGGGGACGGCGGTGGAGACGGAGAATGGACCCGCCGAAGAGGCATCTGCAATGGTTGGTCCAACGTCATATGCGTCCGCCTACTGGGCCTTTGTCGTAGCTGATCCGACCATGAATGTGATGATGGTGATGATGATGTTGAGGTTGATGACGATGATGCTGGCAGAGACGGCGGCTGCGATAGTGGTGCTGAAGGTGGTGGGGAGGGTGGTGGTGATAGGGCAGTGTGTGTGTGTGTGTGTGTGTGTGTGTGTGTGTGTGTGTGTGTGTGTGTGTGTG